CCAGCCGTGTTCCATCAATCGCTGCTGCTTCATGCGTTCAAGAAGTAATGGGAAAAGAGCTCGCACTGCTCCAAAATCCATGCGTCGCTGACACGCCCCGATTGACGTCGATGATAGCGACTGTTCCACTTTGAGCAGCTTTTAGGTGCCAACGATCGTTTTTAGGTACGATCTTCATAGAATGTTCGAGGTCCCACCGAGAATCTTGTTGGGCTCAACTCAAAATTAGAAGTGGTTGTTATGAAATAGTCAAATAAGCTTGATACCTATAACATGTAACGGTATATGTAACGATGTGTACAACGATATTACGCTCCACAATCTCTCCGCGTTAATACTATGTAGGCTTTCTCAGTAAGATTCCCATTTAGCACGTTTCTGCACGACTGTCAACCTGATTCCTGGCTTTCGAATTTCGGCTCCGAATCATATGAAAGTACTGCACATTCCGCTACTTGACGACGAAGCCACCGATTTGTCACCTTTCTTCACAACCGTTTTCAAGGTCTGTTCCAATTCGTTCACTGCACTAGAAGTAGAAGGAATTCGTGGCCTTTCAAGCATTCTTTAGACTGCCGTACATAGGTGATCATTTCCTTGTTTGGCTCATATTTTAGAGGTTTTGCCCTTTTCCACAGACAGAGCGAGTGAGCGCGAGCAAGGCTAAAGAGGAATCTTAACGAGGAAGCCGCATTCGAGTCAGTACTGGGTTATGTTTGGCTTGCTGAGAGGGGTGCTCATCAGGTGGCATTCTATAGGAACTCGAGAAATAGCAGAGTTTTCACCTCTTATGGTGGTCTTAGGTATGGCACACACTCGTTGTCGAAAATATCCGCCGAAACACATTTTCATGCGCAACTTCTTTATCTCCAAACCAACTGGTGTCAAATTTTGATATTTTATGTTCAACAATAATGCCAACAAATTCCAACATTTGCCTTTACAACGCACGGTACGTAACCTTCTTCTGCAACGACTCCAGGGCTCAGTGCATAGTTCACTGGCATTAAAGGGAAAACATTATTGACTGGGCGTCGGAGAACACTGAATGCGCCCGGTTGTGAGAAGCCGACCGAAAACTCGCTGTTCAATCTAAATCAGCACTAAGAGGTCAAAGAAGAACTGTCTCCGCAACTTTCACTGATTATCGAGTAGTCTCCGTAACGTCCTCTTAATCAACTGAAGCGAGCTCGTACTCCTCCAGTAAAACATTGTCAAATCCGCTGGGCGTTTCTATCACAACATTCTTTCAGTGGTGAAGGAAGGATTGCTCGAACTGTCCCTTGAACAAATGAAGTGGCATATTACGACCTCTGAATTGGCCTTGTGGTTCTTCCAGTCAAGAAGCGATTTTTGGTCGGGTTCTTATTATTTAATCCTAGCACACTCAGCACTCTGACGACTGTCCATTTTCTAATAGTTACCACATTAGTACCGAAATTGGCTGGAAAGTTGTTAAAGAATGGATCTGCGTACAAGCAGTGCAATATCGTTCATCCTGGCGAAAAGATTTCAGACATCACCGGTCCTCAAAAAGTTGACCTCGATCCTAATGTACCGAAATCTAGACAATCCAATAATTCAAAATACTATTAGGTTGTTCGAAAAGTCCTGCGACACTTTGATTGAATTGTTCTAGAAAAAGACCAAAAATCATTTTGGATGTTTTATCCCTGATTAGTGGAGACTGTCCTCTGGGGTATTTGGCACATGGGTATATCATGACTTTGAGGAGGTTTTCAAAGCTTAAAAGTCCCCCAGAGATCGCGGTACTTTTCGACTGTCCCCTATTATGAGTTCCTGTAGAGGCCACGGGTATAGCCGTAGTTCACGGAGTGACACTTACGTTGTCTGAGGGAGAGATATCGCTTGCATGGAGAGGGTAATGCTTTTGCGATCAGCGTTATTAGCCTCGACTTATTATAATTCGTAATAGACTTAGTTGGGCAATGTTATAGGTCGCCGATCAGCACAGAAGACGACCCTTTATCAAGCTTTCTTGAAACGCAGCCCCGAAAACGTAACCACCGGTAAGTTGGCGACCCTCTCTAGGCTCCATCTGACTGACAACTGCCATGCTTCTCCGCAATCTCGGTTATCGGAAAAATTTTTGTGAAGAGCATGCGCTCTGGGTTTGGACCGTCTGAGTTTTTAGTCTCTTGTACACAGCGTAGGAACTTTTGTGAGATCTTGTGGTTGGTAGCGAATGGTGGAGTCCTTGCGTACATCATGCACATATCCCTTGCAGGATCTCTCAAACAGAAAAGTAGATTGCTTAGCCAAGAAGATGTGCATGGATGAGAATTTCAGCTGTCGTTAGTTGAGTGGGCCTTGCAAAGGTTCGCTGTCACTGGATACCAAGCACCGTTGTAAGGACCGCAGTCCACCTTAATCGACTTCAAAATATGGATGACGTCACGCTTGAATTCATTCAGAAATACTCAATTTTTCTCTACTACTCGGCAATGCGAAGACCGCATGTGGGGATCAGGCTACGCCAAAAGATCATGGATTTCGATCAGAGAATGCGACCGTACTCAGGTTATTTAACAAAGTTAGCAGCCTCTAATTACCTCCTTTGGTCCTATCGCATCCTTCAAAAGCAAAAGTTCCGAAAATCAACCTCAACTCGAGAATGAGGTCCACCTCTTCTTTTTATCATAGTTGCCGTAGTTCTATGAGAATGGAAATGAGAAGCTGTGCAAAAGAAAGGCACTAGTCCTAGTCATCAACTGCGGTTACCTTGTAGATTGGAGATGTCCTTTACTGACCAGAAATTTAGTTCGAAAAATTTGGTCAAAGTGTCGCAGGACTTTTCGAACAACCTAATAGAAGGCATTCCCGATGTACTCAACGCCTACATTTTTTCATGTTCATGGCAGTTTTTTTTGATGTCCGAAGTTCCATTAGTCTCCCAAGTCATTGAAAAAAAGCGGCAATTTGTCGTGGCGCCCACACCCAAAAACCATTTCGAGAAACTGCTCAATACTCGAAGAATGTGTGCCCTGTGGTAGGCTTGAACACACTGAAATTACCCACCGCAGAAGAAAACTACGTATTGCACATTTTATTTAAAGGCAAATGCTGTAGTTTGTTAGGAGCATTCATTGATATCGAAGCATATCAATTTTTTATAAGTCAGCGACTTTTCCGGATATTAGAAAAAAGACATTGCTTTTGAGTAAATTTGATCGTACTGTAGAGGCGACAATGGAGGGATTTTGCCAAGTTAGCAGTTTTCTCATCGCTTGTGCACAATTCAGGATTTTTCAGGGCAGGTGGAGACAGAAGAAAGGGTGCTATGACCTCATATTGTATTTAAAGGCAGTTGGCACGATAAATTCCCTGAAGACGAGTAGGATTAATACGCCTGGCAGGACGGAATTCCGCGCCCTGAGAAGGCGCTGCGCAGCGCCCTTTTCCAAGGAAGGTACCCTTATAAGGGCCCTATCAAGCTACAACATACCGACCCGAACGCCCACCACGCCCGCCCGCCCACAAATGGACGACCGTTCCTGACGCTCGTATTGATTCATTTGCTAAGCAAATTATGAAGCGAAGGGATTGGTATGAAGCGGCCGTGATGCTGCATATACATATATGAGTACACATATGCAGCCGTATCTTCGGTAGCGGTTATTGGCAAGATGCCTACGGGAAACTCGTCCGAAATTGATTTTAAGTCATTGAGAACGAAGGCTTTTCTTCGCAGGATTTTGACCGTTTCACTCCGTTCTTTCGCCATTTTCCCCACCCCAGCGTTTTAGGACGAGTACCAAATTATCGTGCCAACTGCCTTTAAAGGACACCTTGTTTAAAAAATGGATATGCCGCAACTGTATGGTAAGCCCAGTTTTCACAAGATGGAAGTTAGGCCTTCCATTTAGGCTCCCATAATTGTGCAAAACTAGAATTACTGTGGAAGTTGGGTTTTTTGCCAGAAGAGCGAAGGAGGTGGGGGGGGGTGGTGGGTGTGAAGCGAATTTCAAATACGATAGCTCTATTCGAACGACATTATTCCAGTTTTGCACGAGGAAACCTTGAATTAGTCCCTATAGGGTTATTTGCCTCGGGAAAAGGTTCTGCAGGAAACCAAATCCAGTGGGATGAAGTATACTTGAAAGTGAAATCAGAAATTTCAACAGTATAGCTCTGAAAAGTCACTTCAGATGAGAGCGAGCCGTACCTTTTCAGTAATCATCCTTTCCAATTCCACAGCATTTTGGTGTATCATTGAATCAAAGAAAAGATTAGAATCAGAAGATCGAGTGACAAGATTGGACGCAATTTCCAACCACTGAACTCTCATATGTTGCCGTGTTTCGTGATTTACGACCAGACCACGCCGTACGTTTAGGAATCCCAACGAGCGGGAGCGTAATTGTCCGGGAAAAAATTTTTTTATAGTTGATCTTTCGTGTTTTACGGACGTTTTACGTTATGAGGGTGGAGGGGGAGTCCTGTTTGCTTGCTGTTGGGAGAGGTGAGGGGTGTCGTTGTGGGCCTTTGAGAGAAATTTGCGTCGGTGGAAAAATTTTCCTTATGAAACCTCGCTCGACAGCAAAACTTTGGGGAAAGTAGAAATTTGGGGGAAAAGTGCTTGGAAGTTGGAAAAAACTAGCAAAGAAGGATGGAGAAGAAAGGGGAGATCGGTCAGAAGAAAGAAGGCGAACTAGGGGGTGTTGCGTATTCTCCGAAAATTCCCTCTAGCGGCAGGATGTGTCCTGTTCACGAGACGTCCATTTCCCAGCGGCAAAACCGACTCGGACCTTGCACGATTAAGATCTTCTGAACTGAAGGCCACGTTGGGTTCGGTCTTATGCAGACCACGCGCTTCTTCAGCCCTCATAGATCGCGCGAATCTCGTCACCGCCGGACGCCGAACCCGCGACCGTACTAGTGGACACGGCGCAGCATTGCACTCAACCACGAAACCTCGCTAGTTTCAGGAGATTGACGAAGCTCGTAAATCAGCCGGTCGTGTACTTCTGCTGTGTGCAATGGGCATCTCCCGTTCCGCCACCTTTGCCATAACGTATCTAATGTGCATAGAGAAGTGAGACTTTAAAAAAATAGATCCAATTTCTGAAATTTTCTAAATTTTAGTGAAATCGTAATCGTTCGATTTATTTCAGGATGTCATTGCACGACGCGTACAAACACGTGCAGTACTGCCGCAATATCATTTGTCCAAACGTCGGCTTCTTTCAGCAAATGATCGATCTCGAGCAAAAAGTAAGTTTTTACGGGGTGCATTTGCTTTGGGACACCTATTTTCTCGTTTTTTTTCGGCAATTTGAATGCACCATTGTGTCGCCGGTTCGGAGACAACCCACTGCATCTTCAGATTGATAGCCATAATTCCCTACGGGAACATTTTTCACTCTAGGCATCCTTTAATAGAGGCCAGAGTCAAGAAATGTCACACTTACACAAATACCCCATCTATCTTCCACGCTCAAGGGCTGCCCGATGGCCACCGTTGTGTTGTCGCAGAGCTGCGACATTCCATTTTTCTGATTTTGGGGCGTTCTGAGGCAATTTGTTCTAGCTTTACGGGACAAAAACGGTGCGAATTATCGAGCCGATTCCTGGAGTGAAAGTGGCCGACGTGGTATGGAACGAGTTGTATCAGGAGATGATGGATAGTCTGAGTGAAGCTGATCGACACTCCGTACGATCATACAACCCTCGACCTGATTCGGTGAGTAGCAATAACTAGGGAGACGGGCAAAAGAATCGTAATTCGCCGCCCCGTCGCGCGCGGCACACCCTCGTGCGATGGGCGCGGGACATTTTCAGTGTGGGCTCACGTGACGGTGGGCGCGGGGAAACTGTCGCCTAAACCTACACCCGGAAAAAAGCCGGACGAGTTTTACGGGCGCAAGTCGTCCACTTCGTTGTGGGACCACGCGTCCCTTTAACTTCATTTGAATTAGGATACTTCAATAAGAGCGGTTTTTTGCCCGAAGTTACGACTTTCGCCCGTAAAACTCGTCCGGCATTTTTCCGGGTGTAGGTTTAGACGACAGTGAATTCAAACTGAGCGTCATTTTCTCAATTGGAGCGGCGAAACTCGCTAGGCATATAAGACGTATTTCACTCCAATTAACTGAAAACAAGCCGTTCAACTGTCTTCAAACTAACAGTAGATTGTGCTGGAAGTATAAAAGCATGAGAAACTTCAGTTAGAACTGCCTACAGCTGGAGCGCTCCAGTAGCACCC